TTTCTGTGTTCGGTTAACGTTTTGCCTTATCTATACGTGTTCAATAGATTTAACGCAAGAAATAATGTAATTGAAATGTAAATTGTTTTCAGTAATGAAAAATAAAATGTGTGTTAAAATGGAACACGTAAGCCGTAAGCATCTGCACCGGAAACCGTATTTTATGGTCGATCTAGGGACGTAGATGCCTATATCCCGTACTAATTTAAAATTTTATTTACTGTGCTCTCAAATATGTTGTTTCCTTTTTAAATTTGTAGATTGAATCCATAAACGATTTGAATGGGTTTATTCTTATCACTAAACTATCAGTTTTTAATCAATAATTTCATTCAATGAAACGGATTTTCATTCAATAGAAAATACCTTTACGCCACATTTAGATCAATAATCGTAATATTAATTTAAAAAGAGAAAAACATTTGGTCTGCTTAGCAATTGTATTTTAAAATGCTAAAATTTCTACCTTTAAAAAACTTTGTCACAAAGCATATTGATAATAAAATTATAAACTAGCATTGTATAGTATTTAATCGAAATTCAAAAACTTTGTGAAACAAACCAAGCATCTTTATCTTTTTAAATCAATAAAAATAATCTAAATCCTACCTTTGTATCTGAAGCTGACCTACCCGTCTTGCCATGGCCTTGGATGGATCTTAATTAAATCTTCATTGACCTTCTCTCTTGGCATCTGTTCAACACAGGAGCACTAGTACGATCTTTTATTGTCCTTGTGAAGAAGAAAATCGATTAATAGTAAGAAGTTTTCAACAGGTTTGATATTTGATGATGATATTTTTTATACGACAGTGCAAATAAAAAGTATTTCCATTATTCATTACAAAAGTAATGGTTATTGTCAAGTTACTTGCATACATTTTCCATAATAAAAATAATGGTTAGTGAAAAATATTTCCATTGGTCATTGTGTAAAAATATTCTACTGTCCTGCAGCATAAATACCAATAACACAAGAAAAAAAACATAATTTGTATGAGTAATAAGATTTACTCTATAAAGTAAAGACAGATAATTCATTTGAATGTAAGAAAAGTTTAAGCACACTAACAGTACGAGGGGGCGTTTTTAAGTTCGCGGAATGGAAGGGGGGTTAGAGGTGGAAATAAAAGTAAGAATTTATTTTTCCTATTTAATATATTCACATGCTACCCTTATACATTTTCCCTATCTTTCGCTTAACTTACGTATGTTTTGTCTTTGTCAGAAAAATACACCGAAACTGCATCCTTCACTTCCTCGGCGCTTGAAAATTTCTTCCCACAAAGACTGTTTTCAAGTTTGGGAATAGGTAATAATCGCTGGGAGCTAGACCGAGCGGCATGGCCTAGAGGTCTAGACCATTGCTTAGCATTCGAGAGGACGCCGATTCGATTCCAGGTCCGTCTGCCTTGGTCCAAGTTTTTCTGTGGTTTCCTTGGATCACTTAGGCAAATGCTGAGGCAGTAACATTCCACAGATAATCTTTCATTCTCTTCTGTTTTCATTTCGTCCGTCTCATCTTTCTCAAAAGAACCACCACCCACCCATTCCCACGATTCCTGAAAGCAGGCTGAAAAGGGCCTTCCGCCCTACCTTCCGGCGTTGTCCGGAAGGACTGCCCGCCCACCAGCATTACTGGCTGGTGGGAATGAAACATCCAAAGTTTTTTTTTGGGAGCTAGGTCAGGACTGTACGGTGCGTGAGCCAAAATTTCGAAGTCTTCTGCAGGGCAGCCATCGCATCACGGCTCTTGTGAACAGGGGCGTTGTCGTCCAGATGGAGGACATCTTTGGTCAAATTTCCCCTTCCTTTTTCTTTGATTGCTTCCTTTAACCGCTGTAGGATTGAAGCATAGTATTCTCCGGTTATGGAGACACCTTTATTTTTATAATCGATCAACAGGATCCCTTTTTAGTCTCAAAAGACTTTTGCCATCATTTTCCCAGCTGACTGTGACATCTTAAACTTCTTGGATGGTGGTGTGCCCTTTTTGTGCTACTGCATAGAGTTCTGTTTGGACTCAAGTTGATAATGATGAACCCAGGTTTCGCCCCCAGTAACAATTCTTGTTGTTGTATCTAAAACTCCTATCATTTCTGCGAGCTGTTTCTTCATAAGTTGGGCATCATCCAGTATTCATTTTTCGGCTTTTTGAATGATTTCCGGAGTGTCACTTCGATCTGCCGGACTTGCCGTGGGTCGTTTCAAGTGAGTCCCTACCTTGCTGCTTAAAGAAGGTATGCCACTTGTAAATCATGATTTTACCTAGGCAAGAGTCCCCGTAAATGGATGACATCTCTTCCAGTATGGTTTGAACTGATTTTCCTTGCTTGGTAAAGAACTTCATAAGAGCGCGGTACTCGATTTTCTCCATATTTCACAATTTGTTCCCGATTGACTTGTTTTGTCGACGATAGTTCAAAGATTACTGACCTAATTACGATAAAACTTGGTATTTATACTAATAATGAGTTGCTTAATTCGTAATGACTTGAGTATGTACCCTCACTAATGACCTACCCAATACCCATTTCGCGAACATAAAAACGCACCCTCGTAGTTGTGTATCTATTTAGGACTAGCAAACCGTGACAGCAAATAAAAAAAAAAAACAGAACAGAAACAAACATTTCCAATGTTAAACGCAACAAGTGTGCAATATATGCATATCTAATAATAACGCATTTTCATATGTGTATTTCGTATTTTGTACTCATCTGTACGAATACTACATAGAATGACTGAACAATAAGGTATATTTATATTAAATTAGTAAAGCACTTGGCATTAAAGCTATTCTGAATCATCAACCATTGCCATCATCAGTCTTGTTATTTTACAAGCACCTTCATGCTTTGCCAATTGGGGAATTAATACTTATCCGTTTGCAAATTATTTAATAGTCACAATTTAATATCTTGATCATTTGTTTCTTCGAATTTAATTGACAAAAAGCATCCATCAAGGTAATAAAACAATTTTGTTATAATTTTATATATGATGAAAATCGGTGAACGGTAATAATTTTCTTGTGAATAATAAAAAATATTTCATGGTAGGTAGAATGAGCAAACCCACAGTCTTACAAACCGGAAACCATCTCGAATCTCCAGGTATAGGTAGGCATGAAACCGGAAACTATAAATTAATTCTGAGCCTGTACGAACGCACAGAACTACACAGAAACTTCTGGTTTTCCAAGAAAAATAAACCATTTTCGAATAGCGAGAAACGACGACTAATAAAAAACAAATTCAAAACAGCTTCAGATGTTTTTTTCAGAATACATCCACGATAGAAGTAAAAAAGTTTTCAGGTTAAAATATTACTATTATGGATAAACAATTTATAAGAAATGAATACAAATAAATCTATTTTGTTGACTTGGTGTTTTATCAATAAACAAGGTCAAATAGAAAATAGGTAGTAATAATAATAATAATAAAACTAATAGTACCCAGTTAAATTACTATAAGTTTTAGACTCTATTAATAAAGTGTGTGGTTTAACTTACTTTAATAAAAAGTGCAGTTTTTCCATAATATAAGTACACTTTTCGTAAAAAAAATACAAGCTGAAAACTTCTGTATTCACTGCTATTAAATTTACCTATATTAAAAACCGAACCAACTTTTTAAACGGAGAACAGACATGCACAATTCATTTATTTGACTGACAATTTTTGAGATATCCGACATTTTTGTTTTAATGTCTTGTAGAACCATAAGCACATTTATTAGATCAATGGTCTCAAAGAAATGAACAATTTGGTTACTGCTGCACCTCTATTATTATTAAGACTTGACATTCGATCTATTATGAAGTGTTGCATACCCAAATATGGGGCAGATGGTTCAATTTACAAATACTTATAAGAACACTAATAGTTCAATAATTAACTAACCATATTATATTTTAAATTATTTTTACAATTAAGAACATAATAGTTAATGAAACTAAAAAGTAGGTAAAGAACTAACCCGCGATGCAACTCCTGGATAGAAATTATGTATAATGTATCTTCAGGTTACCACCTACATTTAATTTTATATGAAAAAACACCACACCTATTGTAGTTTCTCAATATAATTAATATGTTTATAAAAACAATGGCATTGTTGGTTTGTGCTTTACCTTGCTGCATGACTGTACATTAAAAGAATATAAACTTTTCTTCATTTTGTTTTTAATTTTTGAAAGAAAAAATTCGAAATACCTGCTATAATCAGAGAAAGTTAATGAATGCACATACCTATGCGTACTTAGTACGTTATTATTTAATGAAAGGTCACTTATAAATTCAGAAAAAGATTTTATGTCATCACTAACAGCTTCACAGCAAGTGCACAACTAACAGAAAGACTTCTTATTTTTTGTTTTATGATGTTAACCTCATTGTCGATACTATAGAGTATAAATAGTACCATATCTACTACATATAATTATTGTACAGTAGCTGCCACAAAAAGTTAGAACTAAGAGAAATTAATAAAAAATTATATTAAACTAATTCGCGGATGTTTTCCTGAAAATTTATTTCAATTTAGCAAACTACTGTACGTTTGGTCAATTTTAAATTTATTTTTAGACAGTTTCATTTTTTTTGAAATTTTTATTTGTTGTTAATTGGTAGAGTAATTATTTAAAGCTAGTAGGTGAATTGATGCTGTCCTGATTAGGGTCCAAAGGTCACATCCAGAATCGGAGATGGAGGGATTTCTGAAGAAGTTTGCCACTCGTGTTAACGAAACGTTAGGAAGTAATTCCAACTGACGATGCCTTTAGATCCAAATCAGGACAGTACTAGTTAACTAAACTGAGGATTTCTTAATTTCTTTTGTAAATTTATAGTAATTTACAAATTAACGTTAACATTAATTAATTATGGAACGTAATTTTTGAAGTTATTTCCGGATAATTGTTTTATACATGCATTTTACTGTATATTATTCATCTGCACTATTATTTTTCTTAAATTTTGTTTCTATTCTTTTCAGGCAACGAAAAATTTCATCGAAGTAGTGAATAAAGTCCGGTTACGTCGCAGTTTAGGTCCGGTAAGTTGGTCCACGGCTGTGCGTTTTTTAATCGCGCGAAAATTTGACGTGGCTCGTGCGGTTGCTTTATTCGAACAACACGAACTGACCCGACAGAGGGAAGGACTCATGCACTTCGACCCTATCAAGGAACCCCTCAAAAGCGAACTGAGTACCGGAAAATTCACAGTGTTGGTAAGTATAAAATAATGCATTAGGTACATCTGTATTGACTAATTTTCGAAACAGTCGAATCGATTTCTAATGGACTCTTCAGATATGAAAAGGGAATTTTTAAGATTGATTTAAACCAGCAATTCCAATTTTTTTTATCACGGAACCCTTATTGATCCACCCCGTCTTTGGCGGAACCCCACTTTTACAAAAAAACAGTAGTTTTATGTCTAAGGTACTTGACATCTCATTATGCACATGCTGCAATCTTCAACTCGAATTTTGAATTCAAAATCTTTATTGCTGTAATGTCTGAGTGTTTGGAGCTGTCTCCAGTCTAGTTCTGGATTTGTTTTTAGTGCAGGTGTAATTCTGAAAAGCACTTCACCCTGGTGTTTCGCAGAAGGGTTACATGGGTTCCGTGAGATACGGTGTTTTTGCCCTAGTAGAAATATACAAAATTCTGCCGTTCTGCATTTAACCATATTTTGAATCACCAAACCAGTCATAAAAGGCCAAATTTTTAACCGTTCATTTTGTGATACAGACGAGGATCGGACAATAAATTGGAAGCAACCACGCCATTAGTATATATGTTACCGGAAATGTATGAAATTAAGGAATAGTATACAATTCCTAGGATATTATATAATTCCGAGGCCATTTAGGAAATCTATAAAACATTGTGTCAAAGATTTTTTAATACACATATATATGCAGTTCCTAGTAATTGTATGAAATTCCGATATTGTACTAGGAAATGTATAAAAGTAATGCTTTCTTTGAATAAAATAATGAAACACTTTAGTAAACTGAGAATTAGAGTTATCTGTGTTTACGCGGATCGTCTCATCGAATGACGCAATACCCTCTCCTCGCTACGCTATTCCCGTACGTAGATTTTCTAGGAAATGTGTCTAATATAATTTATTTCACACATTTCAGTGCGATTTTAGGAATTATGTACATTTCCTAGGAATTTCCGTTAACATATACAGAAATAATACGACTTCAATAAATGCAAGAGGTATTACGCTTATTTTAGGAGAGTTTCCAGAGAAGCTAGTGATAGTTTTAGATAGACGGTTGAAGAAACTTACTCCACCTGTTCACAAAATTGTGCGACATATAGTTTTGGAAGTGATTTGTTTTGAAATAAAGTGGAAGCGATATTGACAAAACAGTATTGTGTGAAAATAAATGAAAGTAAAACAAAAATACTGGTACCTATGCAAGAGAAGAAAAAATTGAGAAAGAGCGAATTAAAAAACTGATTTTAGGTATCTAAAAGAAACTTTTGGGTATTTCATTTCCACCAGCCACTAATGCTGGTAGCCGGACAGTCACTTCTAACTACGCCGGAAGGTAGGGCGGAAAGCCCTCTTCAGTCTTCTTTCAGGAATCGTGGGAATAGGTGGGTGGTGGTTCGGGTGAAAAGTTGAGACGCACGAAATGAAGACAGAAGAGGATGAAAGTTTATAGGTTGAATATTACTGTCTCAGCATTTGCCTAAGTGATCCGAGGAAACCACAGAAAAACTTGGACCAAAGCAGACACAGACCTGGAATCGAACGGGCGTCCTCCCAAATGCTCAGCAATGAACTAAACCTCAAGGACATGCCGCTCGGTTTAGGTTTCTAGAAAGTCAGATCTAAGTTAGAGCGGAAGAAATAGTAGGGATATAAATCAAAGGATAGCGTAGGGTCGAGTCACCTTCAGTAAAAAGAAGTCACTTCTATGCTCGCAAGCGGTTAATTTAGAAATTCAAAAAAGATTGTTAAAGGCGTTGTAAGGATACGAAACATGAACGATGGGCGCGGCGGAAAAGAACAGGTTAGAAGTGTTCAAAATGTGAATGATGAGGATACCGTGGATAGAGAAGGTTAGAAATGAAGTGGTATTAGAAAGAATAGGAGAACTGAGGACTCTATGGAAGTCAATAAGGAATAGGCGAGATAGGTTGATAGGACACCTTCTCAGGCATGAAAGTCTAGTTAGAGACATATTAGAGGCAGAAACAGGAGTTAGGAGGAGTAGAGGTAGACCTAAATTACAGTTTGGAAATAGTTAAGGATGTCGGTTGTTCTGGTCTTAGGGAAATGCGAATATTAGCTTAGGATAGGAAATAGTGGAGGTGCGTGTCTAACCAGTCTTAGGACTGACGACCTTATGATGATGATGGTAAAAAAAAAATGATAACAAAGAAATGTGTAATTTCTAAGCTCCACGAAAATTCGGCCTTTATCTGTATACGTGATTAGGCACGTACCCAAATTAATAAAGAACATTAAATCTTAGTCAGTAATTTATCGAAATTACCAGACGTGGATCGCCATTTCAGTCAGATTTATTAGTTTTCATCAACAGCCAAAGCAGATTTTAAATTAATGAGACAAAGAGTTAGGGAAGTTATTTTCTATTTTACAAATAGCAAAATTGTAAATATATATTTGATATTTAACCGTAAGGAAAAATATAAAGAAAATTTGAATTCCACATTTGTTCATGTCTCGAGCGAAAACTATAACCAAATTTTGAGGCAATGAACGGTTCAAAAAAATCTCGGAAGAATAAATACGTATATATTTTCGGATGCAGAAAAACGATCGTGTGTGAGATTACCCAAATATGTATATCACAATGTTCTCAAGGAGAACTGATGCGGGTGTGAGTAAAAACAACGAACAAGCTGCTGGACTGACAGCAGCCCAAATATTTTTCTTCTTCCCTACATTGAAAGTAGAAAAATTGCCCGTTCCCATTTCCTAGAATAATCGAGACAATGACTTGTGACAAATTGTTTAAAAAAGATAACTGACGTAAATGTTATGTAGTGATACATGGTATTAAAAAGGAATTATAAATTTGTGAAATGATGTTACTATCGTGTGTACCTAGTGGGAAGTAGAAATTTGTATGTAGGTGTTTCCTTATGTTTTTAGGGTTTCGTATATGAAAGGTCCAATGGAACCCTACTGTTATGACAACTACCGTCTGTCTTATTGTTGTAAAACTGATACAACAAATTGGCCAATTTTGGAAATGGGGATCTTTTTAGGGCTTATAAAAGATACGTATAGTTTCAAGGTCAAAAATTAGGAACTTGTAATTCATGTTTACTGATTTTTTAATTTCTTCTTAATGTTAGGTTTTGGGCTAACCTTGGCCTAACCTTCAAAAAATGTACTGTTCGTTTTAAGAAGTTGGAGATATGCCCCTTCCCTTTATTAGGATGCGCGGATCATGTTTGTCTGCGGAACACATTTCTACACCTATCATCGAGCGAGTACTAGACAAAAGTGTACAGTACCATTTACAAACTGCCTCGTTAAAATTTAAGAATATGCTTTATTTAAAAGCATATTTAGCCAAAAATAATAACAAGTGAATTACCTTAACGTTCTACACACCTACAAAGCTTTTGCTTTGTTTTCTATTGTTAATTTATATACATTTTTGTTTTAAGAAATTGCTAAACATTTTCGTCTAGTACTGTACAGTTCTAGCCGATCTCCTAAGACCGCACATCGAGAGCTCTGCTCGTTCAAGCTTGTTCCAACTATTTCTGTCTTGCTCACGCCTAGTGTGTATTCTTTCTATTTTCGCGCCGATTTCTTCAAGGTCACAATTCTAACAAATTGAAATGAACTGTATCAGTTAGTGTCTCTAACCGAGGATAAGATGTTGATACGTGTTTTAGTTTTCCAACTCTTTTGTGGAATTTTGGAGCTTTAAGCGCTTATTTCTAAAGTAATTTTCCAGAATATTCTACGTTGACGTATTAATAAAGAAAATGATTAATACATTCCGCCGCTGTTCGTAGATGTAATAAAGGTAGGTAGATGAGAAGCTGTTACCCGCCGTCGTCATTCATCGTCCGAGCAAATTACTTTTTAAATCGAGGATGTATCCTAGTTAACCGGCTACCGAGCAACTCCGTATACGCGTTTCCGGTAACCTTTTGCTGCGTTATTAACGAGCTTCCGGTACGTCATCCCAAAACTGAAGTCATCATCTGCAATGGAGATGAGATTAACTTCCCGCCTCGCCGTCTCTCGTACCGTATAGTTTCACACCAACTGGACTGTACATAAATTCAATAGGAAAAACCTAGTTGGCCTTCAAGGATGTACAACATTATTACACATATTTGGTCATCGTTAAACTTATTATCAAAGTTTATTTTTTTAAACACTAGCTTTTACCCACGGCGTCGCCCGAATGGAAAAGGAAACCCGATCGGAATTGGTTAGATTCGAAAATTAGCCCGTCTCAATGCTTTTGAAAAAGGTCGTCGTTTGATTCTTAATAATATACAAAATAACCACCCATAAGCTTAAAAAAAAGGTACATATTTCGATATTACAGACAAATACTTCTACTTTGTGTAGACGTATGTAAATGTTGTGGTAACAGAACCGAACCTGCAAAACTATGAATTATCCTTTCGATAAGGTAATGGTAAAGGATTAGCCCTAAATTGGCCATCATAATCCGTATTGTCGCTAGAAATCTGGAACGTACCTTCCCTATTTTGAGGGCGACGTTAAAACCCCTTTCTCATTCATCTTGAGATGGCTATGCGTAAGCTTTTAAAATTGATTTCTCGTGGTTTTAAAATGTTGGAGTTTTTGAAAATCAATCGTAAGTTTGAAACAGATAATTGCAAAATTGTACAAACTGATTTAGACGAAAACCAACCAGTTAATAGTAGGAAGAAAGAGAGGTTTCTGAATGCGGTAGTTAACGATCCCTGTAATAGTGTCCAAATTTTTGATGAACTAAGGGATATTTTAAAGCATAACAAGTGCAAATGTTACAAATTGCGAAATACCCAAGAAATTTTTCGAGAGGTCCACATCAAGTCGAACGGTGTTTTGTGAAGAAATGATGGAAAGGGCGAACAGATTTATTGAACAAATTCTGTTCACTGATAAGTCTTCCTTTTTATTCATGGCAATTCCGATCCATAGGGATCGATTAAATAGTCCGTTAGATCTTCCGATTTATCCCTAAATTTT